CACACACACACACACACACACACACACACACACACACACACACACACTGAACTGGAGCAAGCTAGTGCCCTTCTCTTCAGGACAATTCCTGGGTCCCAGGACAGCATTCCCCAGCCCACCACCCGGTCGCACAGCCCGGGTGTGAACTCGGGGGACCACAGGGGGCGCAGCGCAAAACTAGGATTCCACCCCGGGACGAGGGTTTCTTTGCGAGAATGTGAGAAACACGGTTTGTCGTCCGGGAATAATGGATGAGCCTGGGGAGGGGTGGCGAGTGGCCGGGAAGGGACTTCAGGGAATCAGGGTCGGCGCAGCTGTGCCCACTCGGGTCAGGTCATTCACCCACCCCCCAACCTCAGGACCCCGCATGCCGCCGCGACCCTGAGGTCCCCGCCGCCCGCAGAGCACAAAGCCCGCGCGGTGAAGCAAAGCCACCGCGGCCGCGCGCCCCCGGCAGGACGCACCGCGCAGCGCAGAAGCCACTCGGCGGGCAGCCGGGACCGTGGGCAGGAGAGATGCAGGACTTGTGGCCACTCACCTTCCGAGCCGCGCTCCCGCCGGGGGACAGTCGGGGACACACGGCGGACACTCATCCGGGCAGGGACACTCCTCCCGGAGAACCAAAGGGAGGCATTGGCTCCAGCAGCAGACGCTTCCTTGTCTCACTCTCACCAGCCGTCGCTGTCGCTGACTCTTGGGAAAAAGAAAAGGAAAAAACGTCCTGGGCAGCAGTCGCTGGAAAGTCTCTGCTAAGCCACCTCCCAACGCGGCTGTCCCTCCCAAGTCCTCGTCAAGTCCGGACGAGGCAGCGGCGGCAGCCAGGGCCAGCTGCACAAACTCTCAGCGCATGCTCGGCCGCTGGCTGCCGGGTTGGGTCCTAGTGGGTGTTTCTTGTCCCTCTCACCCAGAGTGACACCCCAGAGGGATTCTTCACCTCTGTAAGACCGAACGTTGGAGAGATAAAAAACCTGCAAAGCTGTGAGGAGTCCTCGCAGCAAGTCCCTTTAAAATGGTGGCGTTGCAGGAATGGAGTCTGAGTTATAAGCATGAGGAAACAGGCTTTTATTATATGAAAATATTTGTGTTTGAGAAGGGGGGCCACGGGTGGCCCAACCTAATTCCTGCAATGAGAGACCAGTTTTCACAACCTTTGTGGAGCCGCCTCCTGTGACTTGTCATTAACATGGTGCCCTGTGATCCTTATTGATTTCTTGCACGCCCCCAATCAAAAACAAATGAATATATAAATATATAAAACACAGTTCTAACCCACTCCACTCCACTAATACTAGCAAGATTATCAATGTATCCCTATCCAGGCTTAGAATTCGGATAGCGAAAAGAGCAGTTAATTCTTTCACAAGTAATATTCCCAAATTTCTCTTGACTGTGTTTTAACTGATGATTTATCTCAAAAGGCACTCAGGGTAGTGAGTCTTCGGAAACTTTGTGGTACTTCCTGAATTTCTAGGTATTTTTTTTAAAAAACAAAAACAAAAACAAAAACAAAAACAAAAACAAAAAAAAAACCAAGGTGGAATTCAGGAAGTATCACGGTAACCACAAAGCGTATCTCCAAATCTAGCTTCTATTTCAGAAATAAGAAATTTCACACTGAAAAATTTAAATGGCTGGATCACGCTGCTCCCCCCAAAAGACGGAGTTTCATCCCTCACAATAGCATACATTGCTGTGATCGTCTGTTCCCACATCTAATAGCAAATAAAACCTCACTTATAAATGTGAGTTATCTGAGATCCAAGCAACATCTTTGAGGAAAACTAAAAACTGGCATCCTCAGGGTCATTTGCAGCTGTGGTCCATGTCCATCATCACCTGTCAGCCGTGTGACCAAAGTGACAAGAAGCCATGGTGGTTGGAACTGAGGTCAACGCCATGAGACAATGTGGATGCCCAGGGCTAAGCTAATAACATTCTTCCTAAGCAACTCTTAAGACACTCAGTCCTAAAAAAATCATACAAGAAGTGCAACCATCTACACAGATTGTCAAGGAGAGCGTCCATCAGATGCCCCCCACTCCAGCCACACAGTGACTTCTGGAAGTGTGGGGAGGAGCTAAGCAAGCTGCTTTTATCCTTCATCAGTGGGTTTGCAAGGGAAGGCTGCTGCCTGATTCACAATAAAGACAGCTGGGGGGAAAAAAACACCATCCAAACGCTGCAGGTGCTACACCTTCCTGAGAGATATAAAAATTCCCTCCTAGAAGGGAGGCTTTGCATGAAAACTGAGAAGAGGAATGCCATCAATGCTCACGTCTCAGAATGAAAGCTCCCTTCCGTTGTTAGAAACCTGGTCACTTACCCTAGGACGCTAAAATAATAAAATAGATAAAAATGCTTTAGAGGCACACGTGTCCCCTCTTTCCATAGGAAATAAGGAATGTAGAACCAAAAGAAAGTCAAAGTAATAGTTTACATCACCTCTTAGTCCAATCAGAGAGTTCACACTACTGCCTGGAATCCCAGCTGTCTGTCTAGTACAACAGTTTAGTGGTTCTCCACGTCCCTGTATTAGGATCACTTCCGGTGAGCTCTGAGAAAAATCCCGAAGCTCCAGTGAACGTCAGCACACTGAAGTCAGAGTCTCCAACGGGTGGCCTTAGTGCGCAATTTATTTCAAAATTCTCAAAGCAACTTACGGAGTTTAATCAACTTCAGTATGAAAGACCGCATCACGTTTAGAACACAGGGAAGCTGGAATGGCCTGCCTCAGTTTGACCATACATCTTGCAAAGTCTCTACCCTCATTTTGCCCTTTGCCTCCAGAGCCTGAGCAAGATTCCCTACCAGGAAACCCCTGGGCTACTAAAGAGTACTCAGTTTCTCCTCCCTCTCCAGGATGAGCCTGGCAAGTGTGTTCTGTAGGCTTTGTAGTTCCCTCAACAACATTCTCTACATGGGCACTGCTACCATTTGAGTAAGGAGTGGCATATTAAGAATGCATAGTCTACTCATTGCCCAGAAGGCAGGAACCCATTCTAAGGCAGTCTGTGCTTCATTAAGTATTATTTGAGTGTGCGGTACTTACTGTTCCTCCCTCCTGCTGAATATATTGAAAATTCAAGTCCCTGCCTGCTGAGAAAAGACCGAACAGTTCCTTTCTGCTTATTTAGTGGTAATAATATGAATAAGGTCTGCATTTCCAAGCGTTCTTTTCATCCGGACCAGAGTTAAGAGCGAAGCTCAGTCATGCGGGAAGACGGGCACAAGCTCTTCTCTGCGCAAGGCACTTCACTTGGGCAGAGCTTCTCCTGCCCACTCTGCTCAGCGCGGATAGGTGTTTGGTTGGCTGAATGAATGAGTTTTGCTGACTTCTGAATGTAAAAGGCGGTTCTTGACCATAATGAATCAAAAGAGGCTAATGGGTTGCTTTTATTAAACAAGTCTTATGTACACAGCATAAAGGCTACTTCCCACAGTGACACATGAACTTCTCAGAACCGTGATGGCATACTGAGACTCAACTGACCTCTTCAGGATGATGATGCAGCAGCTAAAGGAGTATCTACGATTTTAGTTATTAAATAAGGTTTGCCTTCCTATTTTCACTGTTAACCCATATTACAGCATCTCAAATATGGTTGGGGGGGTGTCCCACTGGCAGGCTCCAAGAAGGAAGACAGATTCGTCATTTTTTACTGGCTCTATGTCAAACACACATACTCAAGCTAAGAAACATAGTCCTACCTTTCTCTTCCGAAAGCACATGCCCAATAAGACCAAAAAAGGCCTTCCTTTTCTTTGTTGACTCAAGTAACCTTCACTGTACTGTAAGTTTAAAATACCTAGCTAAAATGCAAGGCATCTGCTGAGCATGGTAACTTATGCTTTAATCCGAGCACTCAGGAAGCAGCAGCAGAAGGATCCCTGTTAGTTCCAGGCGAGCCTAGTCTACTCAGTGAGCTTCAGGAAAGCCAGGACTACAAACTGAAACCTTATCCCCAAAATAAAAATAAATTTAAAGGGCAAAGTATCTAGTCAGATTAAAATTTCCAATAAACAAAACTGGGCCCTCTAACACAATGATGCACAGCCTACAGTCTTTGCCTGAAGTTGTTTAACTGAAGAGTCTAAATGTCTCTTAATTAAATTTGAACATATATACAAATTGGAAACTAGAAATTCTGCCACTGCTCTAAGAAGGGCATTTTATTTGACAGTGAATTGACAAACACAGCTCGTTTCCTCTGTAACAGTCCTGGGAGCAGGTCTTGTCTCCCTGGCATCTTCTGACATCTTCTGAGATGTCCCATCATCTCGGTGTCCTCGGCCATCCCATGTCCTCCTAGACACAAAGCCATCATGTGAATCCAGACTTCATGTTAAGTCACCAGTATTTCTGGAGAAAAAAGAAACCACTTCCTTCCTGTTAGTCTCCGTACGGATTAAAGAAACTTCCTTGGAGACAGTGTGGGAAGCTGTCACTCTCGCCTCATTTCCTATGACCCTGTGACATTCGCATGAATGAATTGGTTGCTAACAATACGTATGGTTCTACCATGATGGATATTAAACTGATTAGAATACAGTCTCGGCACCTGAGGCAACTCTTGTCTCAACTTCAGAGATTTTGAACTCATGAACCAGCAGACATTGAAGGCAACAACCCCACTGTACTCAGGAGGTGTCCACAGGATCATTATTAGAAATGTAGACCATAAAGAATCAAAGTTCCAGAGAAATCACAGCTCTCAGTTCACAGCTTCATTGGCATAATTTATGTTCAAAAAGCAAAGCTTAGAAAAATCTAAAAATGCCTTTTCTTTATGAAAAATCTAATTTCAGTTATTTAAAATAAATAAAAGGAAAGAATCGAGGTCTAATAAACTACCAGACACCAAGCTCCTCTTTCCTTAATAGAGCTGTCACAAAGCACCCTGTTTTATCAGGACACCAGCTCTCTGTCACATCCACAGTACTACAACTAGAGACAGACTGAACAAGTTGTGACAGGCCCTCACCTTCTGCCCCTTCCGTTCCTACTGCAACTGGACACTTCATAAAATGTCTGTTCATTTATAATATTGAAATGTTTGATTTTTATATTGATGCTCATTTAGCTACCTCAAACAGAAATATGCTCTTTCTACCATGTATAAGATTACTTCTGTATACAATATCGGCTACAATTTTGTGATTAGAATGTAGCCTTTACAAAAATAGTGTCATTGGAATTTAAGTTTTCTCTTATTATATGCATATCTCTGTGTGTCTGTGTATACGTGTGCATAAAGGTATGTATATGTGTGCTTGTTAGCCAAAATCATATATCCTGATCCAGAGTTACAGTGAATTTCTACTTCATATTTCATAGCGTGGATGCACACATTATTGACTAAAGAATGGAGAAATCTAATGTCTATTCTCTTTATAGTGGTGATGTTATGCTTACTTAAATGACACAGATGCTTTCCACTAAGTTGTGTCTTTTCAGGGCTGATTTTCTCTCTCAGAAAGCAATATAAACTGACCACTAATCTCAGGGGGAAGGGAGAGGGTGATCATCTGCCAGTGGCATAGGAATTCCATAGTGAAACCCCACAGTTAATTTGAATGACCTATGGGTGTTTCCATCATTGGAGTACATCTCTTAACTTTATTATCAAAGTAAGTCTGACTAGCTGTAGAACAGACTTAGAACGTAGCAGGATTGGTTTAGAAAATCTGTAACTATTTTCCAAAATAACTGGTAAGAATTAAAATATGTTTGGTTGGCTTTTTTTTTTAATTTTTGGTGTGTGTGTGTGAGAGAGAGGGGGGAAGAGAGAGAGAGAGAGAGAGAGAGAGAGAGAGAGAGAGAGAGAGATTTCTATTTATGTTTCATGTGTCTCTGTTACCTGGCTGAAATCTTCCCAAGCCTGCGATACGCGATGAAGTGGTTCCTATTTCCAGGAAGGAGGCTTAAGGAGCAACAGCAGCCAGCCACGGCTGGAGAGCTGAGCATAGAGTCACTTCATTAGCTGGGTCCCCATGGCCATTCCTCATATCAGACGTGTAACTGAGAATCAAACAGGAAGCTTGTGCTACCTAAGCTGATCCCCCCACCCCCGTTTTCCTTTCCCTGGCTGTCACGAACTTACCTATAGAAAGATGGCCTCACACACTCAGTTCCCCTTTTCCTTCTGCTCCACATCCTTCGAGCGGTTAAGCGCCAAGTCTCCCAGACAAACTTTCCCAGTCCGCAGCCCGTCTAGGTTTCACATGCAGCCTCATTTCACTCAGTTATGGGAGCGGATGAGGACAGCCAGAACCCAAAATCTAAACCAATCAATTAGAGTGTGACTGGAATTTGAGCAAAGACTCATCAAAAGGCGGTGTAAATTCAGGCAGCCAAGCGGAACAGAGTATGAGGGGAATGTACTGGCAAGCCCTAGGTGGAAATCTCAGCAGGAAGGCAGATGGCAGTCAAAGAGGCTGGGCAAATGGTGAAGGGCAGGTGCCCTGGCAGATGTACAGAACTCGGGAGGAAGGGAGTTTGACAGAAGAGAAAGAAAGAAAGAAAGAAAGAAAGAAAGAAAGAAAGAAAGAAAGAAAGAGAGAGAGAGAACGGAGGGGGGAGGGAGGGAGGAAGGGAAGGAAGGAAGGAAGGAAGAAAGAAAGGTCAGGAGGGAGGGAGGAAGGAAGGGCAGGAAGAAAGGAGAAAGGAAGGGCAGGAGGGAGGAGGAATGAAGGGCAGGAGGGAGGAAGGAAGGGCAGGAGGGAGGGAGGAAGGGAGGGAAGGAGAGAGGGAGGAAGGGAGAGAGGGAGGGACGGAGAAAGGAAGAGTAGGAGGGAGGGAGGGAGGGAGGGGAAGAATATAGAAAGTCTCCCTGAAACAGGAACCCAGTTCTTGCCAAGGTGATTTAGACACTTTTTGCCAAGGCCAAGTTCTGAGACTGATCCTGAGACCTGAACTCTAGCCCGTACAAGGTCAGCAAATAAGGTTGAAGGGAATATTGTCTCAAAGCCTAATTTTAGGAATTCAATATTCTAATTGGGAAAGTTTGCAGTCTCTGAATTGAAGATCTCAACGCTGGGCTGAGAAACTTGTCCTGAATTTAGAGCCACTGAGGGCAAGATGCAGTAGCAAACCAGCACAGACATCTGAGGAGAGGGTAGCTGCTGGTAGGCGGTGGTTTCACCTCTTGGTAGGGATGTGATAGAGACTGCCAGCTGCCTCAGTTTCCTTATCTGCACACCTGCCCCCTGAAGGGGACACAAAGGTTGTGTAATATGTGAGTGGCCTAAATTTAGCTGGGGTCACACTGTCCTTGGATATTTAAATAGAACAGGCTAAGCCACTTTCCTGCAAGCAGTGGGTAAAAATGTTTTCACCTTTCACTCCCTTCGGGGCCTCAAGAATGGGGCAAGAAGGAGGAAATGCTTGTAGAGTTCTGATGCATTTTACAGACCATGTCAGTTCCTGCACACCAGCCTTCTGTGAGAAGAGGACAGCTTCTCAGAAGTTTCCCTTAGCACGGCCATTGCAGTCCATGCTTACTGCTGCTTTTGACTGATGTCTCAAAGAGTGAGAAGGGGCTTCTGTAGCAACGCACAGACCACTCAGAACAAGCGCTAGCGACCTTCAGCATCTGTGGTCTCTGTGTTCCCAGTAGCCCCTCTCTCTGGGGTCTCTCACTGAATAAGAGAGCTTCAGCTCCAAATTCCAGGCAACTTCTCACACAGATGACATAACTATCTCTTTTACTTTACTATGTGTTCTTACCCTAGAACTTTTGGCTTATACACAATCTTGTACCTATGAAAAATGAGCAAACTTTTTCTTTTGTTTTGTTTTTACAGTACTTACTATATGATAGGAACTGTCTTGAAGCATCAAATAAATAGTGACAATTTAATACTCTGTCCATCTCAGTCCTGAGGAAATTAAGGCAGATCATGTTAAGCAAAGGCGAGATACAAAAATGCAGTGCTAGGTTGTCTATCTCTACAATTTTCTAAGACCTCGTATCCAGAAAAATACATAGAAATAAATGGCTGTATAGTAATTAGGAAGAATATTTAGATATCAATAGGGAGAATGTACTTAAGGAGACCTGGGAGAGAGGAGATCATTTCTAGTGGCAGGATTTAACCAAAGAATTCAACACTAGCCTTTTAAGGAGTCTAAAGGCAGAGGAAACACTAACAATTCCATTTGCTTCCTAGACATTGGCAAACTCTTCACTGTAGTGACCATTCTAATAACTCCTATGCAAAGAAATTTCCTTTGTTTGTGTGTATAAGCCAGAACAGTGTGTGTGTGTGCGCGCGTGCGTGCGCACACACACACAAATTTAGATGTGTACTTATGGAAGATTCTTATTTGCATGAAATAAACTTAATACTCCATTGGGGAAGCTTTAATAAACACGAATTTTTATAAATACTGAGCCATCCTAAAAGACTTGGCAAAGAAGGAGATGTGGAACGCAAAAACACAGAAATAAAGTGGCGATGGAAGGAAACAGTGTGTATAAAGGAGAAAGAAAGGTAGATGAAGGGGGAGGGGAATAGAAAACAGCTAGAGACAAAGTAAAAAGAAGAAAGAGGGGAAAGAGAAAACAAGGAAAAGGAGAGAGTTAGAAAGAAAGTAAGGAAATAGAGGAAGGAAAGAATGTGTCACGACTGCTGCCCCAGAGTTGTGAAGCCAGCCCTCTCTGTTCCCGTCAGTCACTCCCTGATACTTGTCTCTGAAATGTTAGTCCTAACACAGCTGTCACATCACATAAGGTAGAAAAAGGGAACAGTCTCTTTTGCTTCCAGGCCTCTGCAGACTGCCTCTGTGTCCCAGAAGAATATTCATGACTCTGACATCCATTCTTAGAAACCTAAACAGTTAGTACGATAAGGGCAATGCCCTTTGATTCTATAGATAATAATAGCTCAATGTTTTCAAATGGAAAACAGAAAAAAAAAAGAAAAAAGGAAAGGAGCTCGGTGGGTCCTGGGTTTTGGCACCAGATGAATAAAAAGAAGAAATAAGAAGGGAAAGAACATGGCACCTCTGAGGTATGGTGGAGGAGGTTTATCACAGCTGTGGGAGAGAGCAGAGCTTCAGTCATGAGAGAGCGGACATGACCCTGAGTCATGAGAGGAAAAGGAGGGAGGAAGCAAGAGGAAAGACAGAGGAACCAGGTGCATCAGCCAGGAGGCCCAAAAAGGGTAGAGTAAAAGGACCAGGTACCCAAACTGGTTGGATTATATAGGGAAGGGCAGCCCAGACTCTGGGCTGGAGAAGTTTAGGGTATGGGTTGGTATGCCAGCTAGGGATGGGTATGCTAGCTACCCTGTAAAGGGTAGGCATTCAGGGATGCAAGGAGGTCCTGGCAGCTGGAGTCAGCTTTGAGATATTACATAGGTGCCTCATCCATTTCTTTTTATGGAGATACCCCTATCTCTGTTTTGAAGGATTTCAAAGGTACAAGATTAGTTTACATACCTTCTTTACTTCAAAATAACAATAACAAAAACTTCTTATTTAGGAGAACTTCAGAAATGGCCCATTGTTACACAGGTCAAATATTCATGGTTTTTATGGGTACATTTAAGAATTTTAACTTTAAATCAGCTTTTCTTTTTATTCTTCTTCAGTTGTTCAAGTTTAAAATAGGTATAGTTGAAATAGATGAAGCACCTGTGTTCATATTTACTTCAAATGTCTATTAGACCTGAAACATTCACCGTGAGTGTAATTTTACTTTATGAATATGGGTCACACAATAGTTGCTGGTTTGCTCTTCTAACCCACAGTCAAACGCATAAATCATAATACATTTAACCTATCCTCATTCATTTACAGTGTCAAATGACAATAATAATGGATTTTTTAACTTGAAAATCATCGCAAAAAAATTAGTGAATCAGTGATCTGCAGGAACTCAGTGAAGGTGTCCTTGTGGTTTTCAATTTAATAGATGAGGGAAAGGTATAATTTCTCAAAAGACATGCGTTCTGCTAAAACTCACTGGAGAGTTTCAAGTGTTGTTACAGAATATTTGCATACACTGTAAAAATGTGTCTACGCCTAAGGAACCTTCTGATTGGTTTAGTAAAGAACTGAATGGCCAATAGCTAGGCAGGAGAGGATAGAAAGGATATTGGGGGAGAGAGAGAAAGAAAGGTAAGAATCAAGGTACTAGATTTCATCATAGACTCTCAAGAAGTCAGACATACGGTACAGAACAAAGGTAACTGAGCCATGTGGCAGAATGTAGATTAATAAAGAAAGGTTAATTTAGGTTATAAAAGCTAATTGGAAAAAATAAACCTAAGTTAAGGTCTGGTTTTCATAATTTATATTAAGTCTTCATGTCATTATTTGGGGGATGGCAATCCAAAGACAGTGAGACAAGAAAGATTACTACGAAATGTTTTAAAATTATCTTCATAATGTTAGGTAGTAAAGCTGCAGTGAATTCAGCTAAAAATATCAAACGCATTTCAAATCTTTGGCTCCTTCTTCAGTGTCACATCCCCCACTTGGCACCCTGCATTCTCCACATGACTATTGCAAAGGAAACACTTACCATGCCCTGATGAATACAACAATTACAACACAAAAGAAATCATTAATGCATCAGAACAGAAAGACTATGGCCTGTTAGCATGTAATTAGGCTTCTGCTGCAATTATCCTCCATCTGAGAAATTTTCTTAATGTAAAAATGATAAAGCAAATCATAAGCATTCACTTCATTTAATTAACGAGCAGCTAAAGGCACATTTAGTTTAATCTGTACCCTTTTATATGTTTTCCTAGGCATCTTAGTTGTATAAAACCTGAGTATGTTCGCATACTAAATATTTTACAATACCTGTATCCCAAAACCTTTTCCAGGCACCCTTATCTCCTCACCTCAGAAACCTGTCCAAATTTCCATTGTAGGTGCTAATTGTAGGTATTGAAGCATTAGAAGAAGAAAGAAAGGATTTGTGGAGAACCAGATGAGTGAGGTAGAAAAGGCATATAATGAGGCAGGGAAGGAAGGAGAAGGTAGTAGGAGAAGAGTCAACAGCGGGTAGAAAAAAAGATGTTGAGAGGAGGAAGAAAAGAAATGAAAAGCCAAGGACACAGGAATAAGGCAAGAAAAAAAATGGAAAAGTAAGCCTTGATGACATCGCTTGCCAGATGTGGAAATGGGAACACAGAGAGCATGCTGTGTTCATATTGCTCTGCAGGCTACCTAAGTCTATCTCAGCCATCCATCATCTGATGTTGGATTCCCCTCTGTATGCTATGAATATGTTTTAATGCCATTGGATAATAAATAAGCTGGTTTGGGCCTATTGCAGTGCATAATAGGGCAAGGCTGAAATTCCAAGCAGATAGAGGAGGAGAGAGTAGGCAGAGCCAATGAGAAGTCACATAAACACTACAGGAGACAGACTCCAGACACTGGATGGAACCTTACTGGTAGGCTACAACCACATGGTGATACACAGATTGATAGAAATGGGTTGATTTAAGTTACAAGTGCTAGCTAGAAATATG